TACTCACCAGGATCTCTATCAGCCTACCCTCAAATTGAAATTCTTTTAGGCACGATCAGAATAAATTAATCTATCAGACCTTGAGCGTGGTCAAACATATCAATCAAAAGGGTTTGATCTCCTGAATCCAAAACTGTAATTAGAATTCAAATCGGTCAAGAGATGAAGGAGCTACGAGCTAAAAGTTTGTACTTGAAAAAAACAAACTTGGAGCCGTTTTTTTAGCCGATATGCCGCGGCTAAAAATACTGATGCTTTTTACCTTTTATGTTGTTTTTTTTTGGAGTACAAAAGTAACGAAGTGATTAAGTAAAACATTTTAAATATTATAATAACGTATATTTAATGTGGAATCACTTCGTTTTATATTTTGTATTAACCTCCTAGTCCTGAACTATAGTTTTTGATAATTTTAACCTAGTTTTTAACACGTTCGCTGTCACATAATAAATTAAGTATAAATAAAATTAAACATTGAAAAGGTGCCAAGGAGCAGTCACAGTGTCCCAAACCCACAAGAGAAATTTGACTTTGAAACATAACTGTCTGTAACCCAACGGTGTCACGCGGTCCGTAACTAAAAATTGGTTGTAACACACCGGTGGGGCACATGGCAACGAACGTGTTAACGAACTTGTCCAAGGTCTGATAATCTATTAACTAACAGCAAAAGACCTGTCTATATATATATATAAAAGAAAAAAAAGGATGACAATCAATACTGTTGCCTGGTGAATGACAATCAATACTGTTGCCTGGTGAGTGACAATCAATACTGTTGCCTGGTGAATGACAATCAATACTGTTGCCTGGTGAATGACAATCAATACTGTTGCCTGGTGAATGACAATCAATACTGTTGCCTGGTGAATGATAATCAATACTGTTGCCTGGTGAATGATAATCAATACTGTTGCCTGGTGAATGATAATCAATACTGTTGCCTGGTGAATGATAATCAATACTGTTGCCTGGTGAATGATAATCAATACTGTTGCCTGGTGAA